CTGAGTGATATGGCTGGTTGTCGCAAACAGTGGTGCTCGTGTATCCACTCATTATTCCCCTAACACCATTCGATATGAATTCTCCATCTTTCGCTTCCAATTTTCATTCTGCTGTTTTATCCAGATGGGGCGGCCAAAAGACAGCAATTCAAACCGGCGCACGAAACTGCATGGTTAATGGTTGTAAAAACTGAAACTGTTGATGGCGTCATTTTTACATTGACCGATGTTATGCACGGTATTTCATGTATCCCGCCTTCTGTGAGCGTTTCTTTCAGGCGAATATATCCCTCGTGTACGAAAGGTGCACGGGTACTAGTCTCAGAAAGCAACGATGATTGATAGAAGTTGCGAACATTTGAGCTTAAATCATGTACGGGATTCTCTTAGTTTTATTTGTTACTGATTTCGTTAAACAGAGTAATAACCAATCAATTCAGGAAGGAAGAAGCGGTCGATCAAAGGTCTGTAGGAGCAGACCATGAAATTAGAAATTTTTACTGGTGGCTGTAATCGAAAACATACAAAAGAGCTTACTGTAGAAGTCATCGAAATTGAACGGGCAGGATCAGGAAAGATCATAGCATGTCACATAAACATCAAATGATAAATGACGAAGTAAGAAGACTACTGTTAACTCCGGATTCCGGTGATTCCAAAGTTCAGCTTTGTTGGCACAGCGAACTGCAGGTCACAGATTGGTCGGATAAAAAATCAGTGATTAGAATGATGGAGCGTAACTAGCGAAACGACGAATTGATTTTGTCATTAACCATGATCAGGGATAACGATTTTACCTCGGTGGTCAAGCGGTTTAATTTGCACTTACCGGCGTGCTCCGGGACCTCGGGTGCGAGGTTGTAACCCGGACACTACCATCCAATTTACTGGTGAGCAGCTTCAATGTGTTCCGGTTCAATACCACGCCTAACCTAGCAAGACCGTAAGTGGCTGGCCACCCCAAGTGCCAAGGATTAGGTGACCAGTTTTCATGTACTATTTATCACATAAGGATGTGCAAAAAAATACTCGTGGTTCGCAGTCTCCCTAAATGGTATAGAGAGACTGGAAGGGGGGAAAGACGGACAGTACTAACCGCGCACTAACCGTGCACCAGCATAATCCGATGAGAATTCCGCCAGTTGAAGTCGCCCACCAAGGTGGATGAAAGAGTAACATCATTTCTGAGGTTCAATCCAAAATCATTTTAAAATTATGAACATCACGATCCTTTTATTTATCCTATGGAATAAACAAACGTGCTGATCGAAGGTACTAGGTTCGTAGTTATATCGGATTCACATGATATGTGAAAGTCATTGGGGTTGGGTACACTTGAAAAAACATTTTTGGACTGTGAAATGAAACAAGGATGAGTGTTAAAATTCTATAGTTATGAATGGCGTACAAAGCAGACCGTGAAATGACAGCTTTTCAGATTTCCCTATGCCGTTTATAGTTTTATTTATTTATTCCGGATTTAATCATTTTTCAAATATCTTTCTACTCCTGATTCTGATTGTGAAACCTGCCCTAAGAAATGTTACCCACGGTAACCGAAACGTCCGCGAAGATAATTCTCTACCGATATCGCTGTGCTGTTAATACTATAACATTCACATCTTTCTACTTCCTTTTTTCTTAACTGAATACATTAAGTCGACTTTCAGGAAAACGGCCGCGACCATACAAAAGCTCCTCGGGAAAAATACGGCAATGGGAAAGATGGGAAGCGGGATGGAGCGATTCGAACCCGGGTTCCTATTTTGATGACCTTAACCACACGGTCACCACCGCCCCCAAAATATCTGATGAAATAACTGACCCAACTGGGGATCGAGCTCGGGACTTCACAGGCATAATACAAGCATGCTAATTCACTCGGCTACCTGGCATCCGTTTTTACTGCTTTGTTTCATTTTTCCTCATTAAATTCAACAAATTTAGCCTATGTGCAACCAAGAGCTATTTTCTAAGATGTTCTTTTTCTTCCCCTCCCACTCGAGCCGGGTTATATCCCCAGCGAATCGCCTGATAGCACAACCCGATTCGATTAACCCTACCCAGACAGGACTGAGAACACATGTGTTTGAAGAAATTCCAGCATGTATCTGCAAAAAAACTTAAGGACGAGGGGGAGAGAAGTCATACATAAAATAATATAAAATTACAATCACAGTCTGTGCTAAGAGGTAAAGAACAGACGCAACAGGCCACCCACATACTGCACGACTTCCGAACCGCCCAGTTTTGATTCTCCGTAGAATCGATCCACAAAAGTGATTCCAACCTAGAAACAGGACAGTTCAAATGAACGCGGAGGGGGGATTCGAGCACTAACCTCACCGATGGTGTAATTCAGACTAGATGCCAGGACAATCATTTCCATTTGGAAAACATAGCCTTTGGAAGTGCATCTGGAGACCAAATCTTTGAGCACTTCACGTTTGTACAACCTGTACAGAATAGAAAACCGCTGATGCTCAAAAGCTTTGACCGGATTGAAGAATAAAACAGTCCAACACAGCATTTAGGCTAAACGTATTTGGATGAAACAACTATTTTCTTTTAGTAATTCATTCTCAACCCGTTTACAGATAGCATAGGTAACATTAAAAAACAGATCACATACAGTTGAACACAATACCAGTCATTGGTAAAAGTTTGTCATGGTCAACTTGCTTTTGTCATTCGATTGGTTTAACTAGGTGTTACGGTCTCAGGGTGACTAGACGGCGAACACACTCGGACCTATTTGATCACGGGTCATGGAAGTTGAAGTGACTGAACCAAACGCTTTTGGGCGCAGAGGTCGGGGGTGAACTTTCTTATCTGGATCGCCTCGGCCATTGATAGTGTGCAGTTGAACACCCTTACGTTTGATGCCGGGAACATGAGGAATAGATTTGAAAGCGACATCCCGACTTACTTGATGTCTGGTGTGCAGATTACCCTGGTGGTATTTAACTAAGGTACCAGACGTAGCTTAGTTTGTGGCGCATCTTATGTTGTTTGAACAGTACGATGGCCGTCTATCTGGATCAAAAGGCATCGCCCGAGCTGATTGAGGATAGAACGGGCCGGATCAATGGGCAGCTCCACTTGAACAGCCCACTTAGTCGTCACTAAACATCAGATAAGTCGGGATGTCGCTTTCAAATCTATTCCTCATGTTCCCGGCATCAAACGTAAGGGTGTT